TGAAAGTATTCTATACAATTTGCCAAAAGAAAACATACATAAATTTCCAGGTCCCCAAAATGATACTATTAAATATATATATATACAGACGATAACACGCTTTATGGCAGCATCTCCAAAATTCGAGATGAACAGAAACTGGCCGCTAATCTCTCCTTTCATATTGTTCGCATAATTTACTGGGAAAGGGAAATGTCTTGTGATATTCAATATCTCTGAAAATTTATAAACAGACCCTGATTTTTCTTTAGTCCTAACGAACTGTTGAACTCAGTCCAGGCCACAAGAGGAACTTGTTTATACGATCCATGGCTCAATGTGCTGAATAAAATGATCGGTGCCTTGTACCTCTTCAGAAGGTACCTAATGCCTGCTGATATGCTATATAATTAAAAGCACCAGACCTGATCAAAAATGGACTATTCCTGCAACCTCAGGACTAGAGTTGGCCAATTCTGACTTTCCAACCTTGACAGATTTGAAAAGAGCTTGCACGTTCTCGTCGGTGACAAATTGCTTAACAATCTACAATGACTTTTCCACAGACGAAACATCCTTCGCTTCTAGCTCGTCTATCGATATTTTTATGACAGAGGAGTCCACCAGTACAGTATTACACAGCTAGGACCCGCCAGAACACGTACACTGAGTTGATTCATTTTCATTCGCTTTATATTCCATTGAAAAGGAGGAAGTTCAACTACTCAGATAAAATCTTCAGCAGAAATTTTGAATTGTGGAACAAGAACCGGGTGGATACTTACCCGATCGCTAAAATCTGAACTTCTTATTAGGTCAACTGTTATCTATCCTCTATAACCGCATAATATGCAACCCTTAGTCCCTTCTTGTATGCACTTGCAGAAAACATTTAGTAACCCTTTACACTGAGAGGTTCTTGGGCCTTATATAGCGTAAACGGTAGTAATATGATCGTACAACATGCTGTCCGGTTGTTCAGGACTTCCAGAACTGCGGTTGGTCGCTGAAGTGGTCACTTCAGTCCAGAGCTAACGTTATCCCAAGTTGTGATTTAAATTTGATCATAAGGAGGCCCAGATCGAATCGTCGCAGGTATGTTCGTGTTGGGCTGCTCCAAGCAGGGAAATGACATAAGGTGAGAATATAACATTCGAATAAATTGAACTAAAGTAAATGTTGTTTTTATATCAGTTCTTTGTACAATAATTGGTTACATCAGAGTTCGGATGCAATTAATTATCAGCCCAACCTCGCGTCTAACTCGGAAGTGATGTTATTAGGTTGGTGCAAAAATAATGACGTAATAATGTCGTTTTTTGACATATTTAACGTCAAAAAACGACATTATTACGTCATTATTTTCGCACCAACCTAATATGATTGTTGATTTGGTAAAATTTGGTTTGGTGCTTTGGTAAAGTTTGGCACAAGGCTCAAGTTGGAGGCTTTCGTCGGTAGATAATCAAGTGAGCCGCTCTCCTGTCTCTGGTCTCGTCACTGTCTCTTCTGCCTCTCTTCTCTCTTCTGCTGAATTCGCTTCGCGCATTCGTATATATGGACATTCGTCCAAACTGGCATGGGGTATAGCGTGGTAGGGGCATTTCGGTGAATCCCCTCTGGCTTACGTCATAACTTTGGGGAATTCTCTCTCATCACTCTCTCATATTATTACCTCTCACTAAATCTCCTCAGTGAGCGTGGGTGGCTTATCCATCCCCCTCCTGGTATTACAACACAAATTTCGATCAGGAGAATTAACTCCTAATTCGTTGTTTCCGAAAAATGAATTTTCCGCTTTACATCTTGCATTTGCAGCTGTGTGTCAATCAACATTGCCCCTTAAATCTGGGTGTGGGTCACTTTTCCATTGTTCAAACTGCTTGACATACAATTCAAGTTGTTTATGTTTGAATTAAATCCTCAATTCTTCCCATGGGTTTTTGGTATTAACCCTTATTTCAATGCCTCTCAGCATACAATGCTTTCTTATGTTTTAACAAAAATTTCTTCCCTTTCACCGCGGCAACGACAAATAGTATAAAATAGTAAAACAAAAAAGTATCATAAACCAAGCATAATGTTTAAAAGAGGTTTCATTACTGTCAATACTGACAAAGGGTTTGAGATTATTATTATTATTATTATTATTATTATTATTATTCATTGAGTAGACAAGGCAGTTATCAAAGCGAAATGCCTAATATTATTAATCGGATATTCCAGTGTATTTTGAATGCAAGATATATATGCCGAAAAAATGGAAGTAAATATGACAAAAAATTCCATCGTCTGCAAATATTTGGAGCTTAAATTCTTCGAATAAAGATTTTACCAATGTTGCTGAATGTTTCATTATATTCAAACTTGCACATGATATTTATTGTATGTTGATTTATTTTAACCATTTCAACACTAGCAAGGAAATAAAGCCACTAAGACTGGTTACAGATTATAAACGAATAAGAAAAAAACATTAGAAGAGCAGGAATTTAGAAGAAAGAAGATAACGATTCACATTGAATTCAAAAAAGTGAAGATTAAATTTGACTGGAAAATAAGAAACCGGAAGAATGTCTCTAAGTTTGATATGCGAGAGAAGAAACCGTTCACATAGAACTTCACATCTATCAATTTTATCTGTAAAGGATGACCAATTCCCGCCAATCTTGTAATGCGCTTAGATTCCTAAATTCTTGTTACCAAAAAGGAAACTTCGGCATAACAATAAACACACACACACACACACACACACACATATATATATATATATATATACATACATAAAAATGAAACTCAATTGAATTGTACCACAATTTTATGGCTATTTCGCTCCTCGGAAAAAATTTGTCAAGCTCCAGGGAAAATTTATTCCGAGTAGCGAAATGACCCTAAAAATGGGGTGTAATTGAATTTCATTTTTATGTAATTCACTTCTATGACTGTATAATAAATATATTGAGCTCACTTTTGTGGATCAGTTTTAATATATTATAATAAAAGGATTCAGTTGGATTACTCATCCACGGATTTTTAACTATACACATATATATATATATATATATATATATATATATATATATATATATATATATATATACACGTGGGCCTGCAGAAGAGTTAGGGAACCTGGAGGTGTGAAATGTTTACAGATAAAAAAGAAAGAACAGTTTTTCTGAAAATGACTGTCTTTATTTCTATTTTCAAGATGGTTTGAGTATGAATAATAAGAATTTGTGTAACATTTGAAATATTTTCGTAGCCCAATTATTTTATTTAGCTATTTTTTTATTATCTCTGACTGAATAAAAATGCAAACAGCAAAGTTTGATTTCGATTTAACTGATAAGTATTAAAATAATTATGTTTGCATATGTTCAAGGATAAAGACAGCGATTCAATCTACTTTCGAATTGAAAGACTTCAAAAGCAAGTACATCTCCTTGTGTTTGTTAGCTGGGTGAAGTAGTTAAGTAAGAGGGGATCTTTTTACAGTAAAGTTTTCTATATAAAAGGCTCAAGAGCCAGTTTAGGTAGCGAGTTACAGAATAAGAGGCACAGTTTATGGGGATTTGCCCGAAAGATAAGATTAACCCTATACATGAACAAATTAACATTGTACTGTTCGGAGAAGGATTATCTTGGGAGACAGTTCCACAAAGCAATGATACGTCGGAAGAAATTGCTTGAGTAGTTAGCTATTTAATTAATGATTTGGAACATATGTATTCCTCTGAAGGGAACATGCATCTACTATTTCAGCTTTTGAGATCTGTCTCTTGATATTTAAGTCTTTTCCTTGGTTTCTAACCTTTTCTCTTCATTTTAACATAAATATCAATTTTAAAAGAATTATTTCTCTGGAAATATAATACTCTATAATGAATTTACTTACTGAGTTTTAAATATTTCCTTTCATTTACTTTCTAAGTATTTATCTTTTTTTTTCTTTCTCTTTCTTTCTCTCTCTCGCTCTTTCTGCCCCACTTGTCACTACCTCAGGTAGAAGTCGTACATACCAGCTATAATTAAATAATTTGGGAAAATGGCCGTTTCTTTTTCCGCTCCAGTAATTACCTGACTCTGTTATCCACTACGTTTACACGAGGCTGATCAAGCGGAAAATGGAGTACTGCTGACACATATGGGCAGGAGATGTCCAGTCTTTATTATCCAGTCTCGATACAGTCCAAAAGCGTTTCCACGTCCTTGTGGCTGATGAAGAATTTTCCACCGTTCAACTCCTTTTTCACAGACGAAACATCGCAAGCCTCCCGCTTCTCTTTCGCTATTTCCATGGAAAATGTACAGACGAAGTACATTCCTTCATTCCACCAGTTCTAACCTAAGAACCGCCATATCATGCACCTTGTAGAAAACCATCACCATTCTTTCGGTATTCCATTGAAGGATTATATTCCACGCAAACAATTTCTTCCCACGAATCACTGTCTCCCAAGATAATGCTTATCCGAACAATACAATGTTAACTTATTCATGTATAGGGTTAATCTTATCTTTCGGGCATATCCCCATAAACTGTGTCTCTTATTCTGTAACTGTCTACCTAGACTGGCTCTTGAGCCTTTTATATAGAAAACTTCACTGTAAAAAGATCCCCTCTTACTTAATTATAATTCTTTTTTCTTGTAATTTTAAATTTTCTCTGTGTACACCTGTTTATTTCCCTTTTTCACTGTCACTGAAGTTTTATTTTTCTTTTTTTACCGATTTGATTTTTCTCTGTAATTACCTCAATGTCTATTTTTCACTTTGTATTTCTTTTGAGATTTTTTTTTAAAAGAATCTCAGCGCTTTTGTAATTAACTTCAGCGTTGTACTTGCTTTTCTATCATTTCTCTATCTCATTTTCCTATTCGTTTTGGTTTTTTTTTGTTTTTCGCCATTTTGTCTTTGAAAAGAAATCTTTCCTCATCTGACCGTTTCGTTCTTTCATCCTCTATTTTGTTATTTCTTTTCTTCTCTTCAACCATTACTCATTTACACGTTTTCTTTCTCAGTCTTCACTTCTCTCTCTCTCTCTCTCTCTTTACCTCTTTTTACATGCGGCTTTTTCTCTCTCTATTTTTCACGCACATAACTTTCTCTTTCTGTACCACTCCCCCAGTCTCAAATGCATGCCTTGTTCACGCGTATACAAACAAAACCCTTCTGCCTTTCTCGTACATTCTTGCTCTCTTTCCCTCTCTCTCGCCCTTAAAAATCTTTCTCTACTTTAGGCACCAAATCATTCTATTTAAAGTTTTTACTTTTGTTTTATGTCTTAATTTATTTTCTGTTCTTCACTTCATTTCATACATTCGTTTTTTTTATGCCATCTTTTTTCACTTTCTTTCTTTCTTTCTTTCTTTCTTTCTTTCTTTGTCTTGCCTACTTTCTTTCATTCTCTTTCTTTTTACTTATATGCGATTTCAATCTTTCATTCACTTTCCCTTTATTCTTTTCATTCCCTCTTTTTCTATTTACATATTTTATACTAAATATCACTATTTCTTTCTCTCATTTTACTCCTTTCCTTCTTTCCTTCTTTCTTTCCTTCTTTTATTCTGTCTTTCTTTCCTTCCTTTTTTCTTTTCGTCTTTCTTTCTTTATTTTCTTCTATCTTTTTTTCTTTCTTTCCTTCTTTCTTTCTTTGTTTCTTTTATTCTTTCTTTCTTTCCTTCATTCTTTCCTTCCATCTTTCTTTCTTAATTTTTTCTTTCCTTTTTCTTTCTTTCCTTCCTTCTTTCTTTCCGTCTTTCTTTTTCTCACTTTTTTCTGTTAATCTGTTTCTTTATGGATCTCATTCTCCTCATTTCAACAGATTTTTCACACCCTTAATTCGACTTTCTTTAATACTTTTTTCTTTGTTTCTTTCTGTCATTCACTTTCTTTTTTTTTTCTTTCTTTCTTTTTCCATTTTACATTTATCACCCTCTCGCCATCTCGGCTTCCCACGCTTTTCTATTCTGCCTCTTGACATAAACGATATTGATGAAGCATGAACAGCTTGTGTTTCAACAGTCCATGTCATGGCTGACTTACATCCGGGTACTTTCTGCAAGACGTTTATTGAAGCTGACATCACATTCAGCGGTGATGTCTTCTGGTGTTGATTGAAACAGATAGACACCATCGAGAGAAGTTAAGGAGCGTAGAAAAAGAAAAAAAAAAGGACAAAGGGTTTTATAAAGTGAGGAAGAAATCGACGATAGACTAAACTGTAGCAAAATAGATTCATCTGCCTTTCTCTAGGAAAGAAAGAACGAGATAATTAGCAAGTGTGCGTATTTTAGAAAGGTGTGATAGGTGTAGATGCGTTGGCCTACGTGATCGTTAAAATGCATCCTTAAGTCTGTTTGAGTGTGCAAATGCATCTGTGAACAGGGATCTATGTGGGTGCATTGAAAACTGGGGCAGCAAAAATGAATTGGGAAAGATTTAAAGAGAAAATGAAAGAACGAATAAAATAAAAGGAAACAAAGAATAGAACATACAAATTGGAATGTAGGCAAGAAAATGATATTGAATTACAAATGAAAAAGGGGAGAAAAAAAGAAAGAAAGAAAACAGTGAAAAACATAAAAGAAAGAAAGAAGAAATTGTAAAAGAAAAAAAAGGAAGAAAAATGAAAATACAAAAGAAGAAAAATAAAAAAGAAATAAGAAAAGAAAGGAAAGATATTAATATAAAATTAAGGAAGAAAGAAAGAAAAAACTATAAGAGAAAGACATAAAGAATATATTATAGAAAGAAGAAAATATCAAATAAAAAAGTAGAAAATATGAAAGAAATAGAAACAAAAACATGAAAGAAAGAAAAAATGTAAAAGGAAGAAAAAGAAAAGAAAAGAGAAAGAAAAAAGAAAATAGGAAAAAATAATCAGAAAAGAAAAAGGAATGAAAATAATATAAAACTAAGGAAGAACGAAAGAAAGAAGGAATTATAAGAGAAAGAAGGAAAAAAGGTTATATAAAATATGCAAAGAACGAAATAATGGAAAATGAAAAATAAGAAAAAAAAATTAATAATGGGAAACGTAAAGCAGAATGAAGACAAAAACTGAAAAACTATGTCTCTTATTTCTTTCTTTCTTTCTTTCTTTCTTTATTTCTTTCTTTCTTTCTTTCTTTCTTTCTTTCTTTCTTTCTTTCTTTGTCTCTTATTTCAATTACTTTCTTTTTCCTTTATTTATTTCTTTCGTACTTTCTTTCTTTCTTTCTTTCCTTCTTTCTTTATTTCTTTCTTTCTTTTTTCTTTCGTACTTTATTTCATACATTCTTTTTTCTTTCTTTTTTTAATTTTTTCTTTCTTTTGTACATTCTTTCTTTCTTTCTAACTTTCTTTCTTTTTTCGTTTCTTTTTCATTTCTTTCTTTTTAGCTATTTATTTGTTTACTTTCTTTTTTGCTTATTTGTTTTATCACTTTACTTTTATTAATTTTGTTTACCATTATTTTAAATTTTTCGTTAATCCTCTCCCGTTTTTTAGTACATCAATTCTCTTCGATTTCATCTTTGCCCTCTCTCTCTCTCTCTTTCTTTTCTCTTTTTTCTCTTCTTCTTCTGTATTCGTAAGAATGAACGAATAGAATAACATGATGAGCATTTAAAAAAGAAAGAAAGAAAGAAAACAAACAACAGAGAGAAAGAAAGGAAAAGAAAGAAAAAATCGGATACAAAAAACGTAACATTAAAAAAGAAAGAAACATGTGAAATAAAGGGAGACCACTCTGATTGAGAAAGGAGTCTAAAATTCTGGACTCATAAAGAAATGTTATAATAAAACGAATAAAGTAACAGAGATTGGGGAAAAAAACGAAGAGAAAATTTAGACTCTAGGAAAGAAGTAAAGAAAACGTTTCGCATAACCCATACCTAAAGAATATAAGATTAAGCTAACAAGAAGAAAGAAAGAATAATATGTATAAGGAAGAAAAACAAGTACACTAAAGTCAAAAAATAATGTCTGCGATAAAACCAATTATAAGGTGTTAAAAAAAATGATTCAAAGAGTTTTTGAAACCCAACAAAACCGATTACAATGAAGAGAAGAAAACGGTCGAATAAAAGCCGTATCGAAAGGAAAACCAGGGAAGGAAGTAAAAGAAAGAAGAGAAAGTGAAAAGAAAAAAAAAAACGCTAAAAATGAATAAAGGACGAATGTCAGTCAATATTTGCTTAAAAGAACAAATAAAAGATTTGTCGAAACATGAAGCAAAGCCGAAAGAAAAGAATAAATACGAGTTTTGAAGTGTAAAATTTCTAAGCTCAGGGAATGTTAAAGAATGAGCAAGAATATTGAATATTTTTCCATACGTTTAAGGAGAGTGAAACGCAATCTAGTTACTTCTAAAAAGTTAGGCCATATATAAAATATAACTCTATAGATACACATTCATACGCAAATATGTATGGGAATGGAGACATGTAATGAATTTATTTAGGTATAACATAAGGACAATATTTAATCACACAAATATCTATAGACATGCACATATATCCAACTATCCATAAAAACGCGAATATACACCCGTATATATAAATCCACTGGCTGTGCGGATTATCCATTGCAAGATCCTCATCCAGAAGCTGACAACGAACGAGTTTATGTCTTGGGTAGAGTCGGCCAGTATTTTAAATCAATTTGTTTTACAATAAGGATTACAATGTAGAGATTAAGAGCTACACAAGCTCATCCGTTACTGTTAAAATGATAATTATTGATGTGATGTATAATACAAATGATTAAATAAGTTGTAGGAAATGAAGATTATGGATAAAGAAAATGGATACTGATTCATTTTTGGAAATGCTGAGATTGTAACGATAAAAGAAAACTTCCACTTGGTAATTTGTTTGAGAAAAGATGTGACTGCAGGACTTGCTTCTGAATTCTAGAACACGGCGGAAATGAGAGTGAATCGACTTCGAGGAAGTGGCATTTTGTGTCTGCGTTGTCAGACGGGGGGGGATTTTAAAAAATGATCTCGTCTTAAAAATATGAAATTTATCAAAGCTGAAATTAAGGAGTGAGCAACTCCTGTCTTGATATGGCAGCCATATTGCATTTTTTATCTAATCTAATTGTAAACAATTTTTACCTTTCGAATCCAGTATAATAAGAAACATAATTTGATACTTAAAAAAAAGCAAACAAGAGTTGATACGTAGAAAAATATATAATTGGGTAATTTTCTTTCTAAATTTCTTGACAAGGAGCTTCCATCAGAGGTTAACTAGGACAGAAAATGGCGTGTGAATTTTAATGCCTTCAAAAAGGAAAGCTGGGTCACTGTGTCATGCAAGGAAAGCTGGGTCACTGTGCTGAGCAAAGAAATTGGGGTCACTGTGTTGTCCAAGGAAATTTGAGACACTATGTCGTGGAAATAAAGTTAAGTCACTGTGTCATGCAAGGAAAATCGGGTCACTGTGTTGTGCAAAGAAAATGAGGTCACTGTGTCGTGTAAGGAAAGTCGTTTCACTGTGTCGTGCAAGGAAATTTGGGTCACTGTGGTGTGCAAGGAAATTCGGGTCACTGTGTCGTGTAAGGAGAGTTGGCTCACTGTGTCGTGCCAGGAAAGTTGAGTCACTGTCTCGTGCCAGAAAAAATTTGCGTCAGAATCCATCTTGCACACTTATAAATATACCGTTTGCGCGTGCATTAAAGACTGCTACCATATCTAGCCTGGTTCTCCTGGTATTCATCTCGAGATTCTACCCAAAATCCAATGAAATATCTGTAATGTAATCGGTCCTGAGCTCTACTTCAGTCAATTTCTCACCGACATGATGTAGCTTACATCTGTCTTTATCTTACTTATTATAAAATGCAGATTGTGTGTGTGTTTGTGTATGTGTGTGTGTGTGTCTGTAACGTTTATATATTGGATCGGATTTCCTACATTTTTCAACCGATTTCAACAAAACTTCACAGGACTACATAAAATTGCCTTGTGGTGGTTCTAACAGCGCCAAAAATGGGAAAAATATAATTGTTTTTGCACAAAATCAATTTGAAAACACGATTAAGAGACATCGTGAAAATGTAAAGGGGACAACTCACATCGGATTTCCTATATTTTTCAGCCGATAAAACAAAACTTCACTTTTTTTTTTTTTTTTAGTGTTTTTATTCTCTTGCACACTTTTTTTTTTATTTTTTACACCCAGAATGCTTTAAAAATTCCATTTACAAGACAATTATTTATAATAAAATTCTATTCAATCAGTAGACTCAT